TGTCTTTTTCTGACGTAACTACTGACCTAGCCACCAATAAACCTCTATGTCTAATGTAATGTGAAGGTTCTAGAAGACAATATTCCCCCTAATAATTCTCTATCTATTGTTCCTACCACAAACATTTCTGATTGGGCTGGAATTGTAACATTTTTGTTCAGGGTCACCCTAGCTTGATGATATTTTTCCTGGTGAGAAAACAATTTGATCTTCCCAAACTTGTTTTAATGATTTTTTTTCTTTACTTGCAGACAAACATCATGTTTTGTCATGAAATTCAGACCTAACAGAGCATGGTACTTCTGATCAGAAAACTGGATATTGGAAACTATGAACTCGGTCTTGGAAATTTTACCACCTATATGCATGTCTTACTCTATTTTTCCATATACATCCAGATTATCTCCCTTGACAGATTTCAAAACAAGAGATACAGGTTGTAAATCTACTAGATCCATGCCTAACTCCTGAAAAAAATCTGATAACAGAATTGGCACAGATGCTCCTGTGTCGAGCATTGCTAAAACTGAGATGTTCCCTATCCTAGCCTGTCCACTCAAGTAGTTTTTTGCTGAAGACACAGTAGTAAGTAAAACTGAACTTGGATTTTCACTATCTTTGATGGACTTGATTGACTCTTGTTTTTCTGAAACTTGAATACAAATACTTTATTGGTGAATCGAATTATTGTCATCTTCATGATCTAAAAACCTAACTTTTTTCAATAGGTCTTTTCTCAGAACAGACTGAACCTTCGACCTCAAGATCAGTCCTTTCTAGTTTCCCGAAGTCATTGTTTTCTTGGGACATTTAGTTTCAATGTGACCTACACCTCTGCAAAATGAGCAAACAATTTCCCTGAAATTTTTATTGCTTTGACCCTCTATTGTTGGCATTACGTCTGGGTGAGAAAGATCTATGGTATGAAAAATTGGCACTATTCTGATGGACAGAATTGCATGTATTTGGACTTTTACTTCTTTGCCTGTTTTGTACCCTTTCAGTCGATTCACTCACTCTCAACAATTGATCTAACTTTCTCTCTAAACTTTCCATTCTTTCCGCAATAGTATTGGGTTGGGTGCCCCCCAGAGTCTTGCTAGAGTTGGTTTCAGATCCCTGAACCACTGCAAAAACCCTGTCATCTGTAGGTTTCCTAATTGTATCTATGGGACCTTCTGCAGCTTTATACTCTGCAGCATATGCAATTGCCTGAGCTAAAGATTTTGGATGTCTGAATTGTACATGTTTCTTTAATTCTGAATTTCCTAAACCCTGGATATATCTATCTACCAGAAATTTCTCCAAATTACTGTAGGGCATATGTGGATAAGCTCTCTGTGCCACTCTGCGAAGTGCATACCCATAGTGTGTCACATTTTCTCCTAACTTCCTTTTGTACTCTCTAAACTCATATTTGTACACATCCTCTCTTTCTTTAGGGGAGAACCTTTGATAGAGCTCTTGTTTAAGGGCATTGTAGTCATTTAACTGGCTTAATGTTAGACCCCCCAAAAGTTTTTGAGCTTAAATTCATAACAAGTCTCTGCGCTTTTTCCCTATCATTCCAATTGTTCAGATTAGCAACCCATTTCTAATCATATTTCTCAGTCAGAGCTTTTTCCTTTTGTCCTACACACATGCACATTGGGGTATTGTTTAATGCCGGAGTATTTGAATGTTGATAATTTGAGTAGCCTGCAAAATTACTTGCATTTTGTGAAGATCTGTGAGGCATAAGCTGTCGCTGAACATTTGCATTTGGCACTTGTGAGTTAAGATAGTAATTTTGATAAGGAACTTTTGAGTATGAGGAAATGTTTACTTGTGTTAGATATTGGTATTGACCTTGATCAGCAAAGCTTGAAGCATTCTGATACTGTGATGGAGCAACAGGATGTCCTGTTGAATATGAATGATCCCTATGACTTTGTGTTTGATACCCCGAAGAATTTTAATTGTATATTGGGGAGTGATGTCTATCCCATTGGGGGCTTATTTAATGTAAAGATAAATTAAGTAGATAAATATGAGTTTTATCACAGTTCGTCTTGGAATTTGTAAATGAGTGGAGTCTGTCCATGCACTTCCACAAGATTTGCAGTGGAATACGTTTTAAGCCTTATATTGTTTTCATTTCAAAACTTTAACTGCATATATATCGCTAATTGTTTACATTACCATGTATGTATGTAGAGAATTGAAATCGATCTTTAAAATTACATTTAAGATATTACAACGGTAAATTTGTATGCAACATAAAATATTGTTAATTAGGTATGTTCTTGTAGAATGACTGTTATGTGTTGTGTCCTGTCGACATTATATACTTACAGTACAACTTGACTCCCTTTGAGTTAACATAACCTTGACCAAAGAATATTTTTCTTTCAGTTTAAGGTCATGGCAGAAGAAGTGTCAAATTTATGTAATACATGTAACTCTTATGGGGAAACATATGAAGTTCATACTTTTCACAAAGATTACCAATATACAGATGGCGTGTTTCTGTTCCAAAGCCATTTTCATATCGATGTAATGGCTTGTTCAGCATTTTGTTCGACTTGCCTAATGATGTAAAGTAGGCGGGTTTCATGAATACACGCAAAAAAGTCTCATTTGTTAATCAGCGTACAGCACTATATGCAATATTAATCTAAGCTTAAAAAAACACTTTACCATTAATTGAAATCGTGAGAACCTGCTCAGTGATCGGATGTCTACAGTACCGACCGGACACAACCTAACACCAGAGCGAACCCAAAGCGCACCCTGGGTTCGCTCGGGGTCCGCTGCAGGTCCGCTTTCAGAAAATTTGGGACCGTTCTGGGTGCGCTTCGGGTTCGCTCTGCGTTCGCTCGGGGTCAGCTCTGGGTCCGCTAGAGAGAACCCGGCGTTCGCTTTCCGGGTTCGCTTTACGCAATCATGCGTGAAGCGGACCCCGCTTTAATCTTGCCGCCAGTAAGCCCCGCCCCTTGTTTATTCCAAATACAGTAGTGAAATCGATCATTACTGTTTTTATGGCGATCAAAACATGTACATGTAAGTGACAATATGGAGAAAGTTGATAAATTTTCAAGAATTACACCGTACATTCGACGTAGAATTATCACTTTTATTTTTCTTAACTTACAAGCTAAGTATATCTCGAAAGAAAAAAGAAGAAAATTTATTTTCGATGTATCGGATGGAGTGAAATTGATAAGAGTATCTTAATAAAAAAAAAGTTTTCAAATTCATTTGTTTACTTTTTTCATGCGTTTTAAAATAAGTTGGAACTTCCAATTGTAATTGCAATGGTTAAATCGTAATTTAAATGTTTGAATGACAAACAACTGAATTATGATCTTAGCTATGAAATAGCTGAGACATACTGTACACGTAAAATGCTAAGTTTTCATATTTAGCAGTTTATATTTAAGCTAGGTTGTCGTCCATTACATGTATATGTAGGTCGTGATAATCACTAAAAATTTTCATACAGTGTAACTTGAGTTTCGTTTTACAGATCATTGATTTTATAATTTACTTCCATGCTATAAATCATTATTTTATAAGTGGCAACAAATTACATGAATATGTACTCTTCATGCAACGTACCAAAGAACTATGACGTTTCCAAATTCAAAAATAATAATTAAAAAAAGAATAATCATTGAATTTCTCATTGATAACGTGTCCAGACGAGGTACATGTAACTTAAGGAGCATCGAATGTAGGGGGAGTATATACTCAGGTATATATACCGTGACCATGCAGACAGTATACATCCAGCTAGCAAGTGTCAATTAAAAAAACCCACCGCAATTGCTCTTAACACCCGCAATATCTTCGAAACAGGTGTTTTTGTTTTTGTTTTTTTGTTTTTTTGTTTTTTTTTAATTTTTTTTTTTTTTTTTTTTGACTGACTTGCAAGTAGTTACTAAAGTTCAAAAACATACGATGTAAGGTCGACATGTAGGATCATTAGAATTGACAAAATAATCTTTCCCTATATACATGTACTTAAATCAAGCTATTTATTAAATTCCGGTAAAAGATTAATTTTAAAAAATATCACAGTATTTAAAAAAATGAGAATTTTTTCTCCAGTTAACGTATTGACATAATGCACATTTATACCGTACAATGTACATTTAATTTTTTTTCATGATCAATTATTAAGATCGATAATTTCGATGTTGATCTAGATAAATTAAAACGTGCATGTACATTGAAATAATAAATAAAAAATAATTAAATTAAAGCACGTACATGTTCTTATACTGTATCTTGAGATAATAAAATTCTATAATTTATCGAAGACCTTTTTTTTAATTCTTTTTTTTTAGTAACAATTGTTATAACCATTATTATCTTCTTTTTTTCTATTATGAATTACAGTACTTATTGTCTGATAAATTTACGCAATGTATATTTATATATTAATGGATTTTAAAAATATAAAGAAAATAAATATGTAACTATACATGTAAAATGATAATAACTGGATAATAAAAATATATAATGTATTAATAGATTTTAAAAATAAAAAATAATGCAAATAGATGTGTAAATATTGCATATTGTCTGGAGAATTAAAATATATAAATATAAAATCATGTTTAAAAATCATATCTGTACTGTCTCGTGATTAGCAGACAGTCAGATAACCACGCATCTACACAGAATACTCCAAGTCCATATAAACTGATGAATTTATTGACTTATATGTAAGATGGCATGTGGTAAAGGACTACAAAGAAAACAAAGGGACTAATCAGAAAATGTTCACAATATAACAGATACTAAAAGTGTACGACTTAACCAACTTTGATAATGACTGTTATGGCGTTCCATAGAAAAAATGTTTCAAACAGCAATGTATTTATCTTAAATTCTACTATTTGCATAAAATTATATTCTTACAAGTTACTTTACATCATTTTTATCTAAGTGAAAGAAAGCAGTATAAATATTCAGTAATATTATGCTACTTATATCAAGTTGTTTATCCTAGATATAGTAATGACAACAATGGCGTGCCGTACTTCGTGCACATGCGGTTACCGAAAATCATAATTTTCTATCATTTAACTTCACGACTGCAGCTATGCATTACACATCAAATGAAGTACACATAAAAGAATAAATTTACAAATGTATTCAATTACTTACACAGTGATTTCCCTAATCTTCCAAAAAATCAACAGCTAAACAATGGGTCAGCCTCATGGCTTCTAGAACAACTTGTATTAACAACTCGTACCTTTAATAATTCGTACGAAGGACAGAACACTCCCCGCCTGATATCTCCTAGATATCACAAATATGACTAGAATAAACAGAATGCACTACGAAAATGATTGATTACAATAAAACTAGTTGACTAGATAACAAGATATGACTTGATCCCTAAACAAGTGTCTATACAAATGCTCAATGTCTAATCTTGGTAAACATCTTAAGTAGAGACTAATAAAACAAGTTCATTGACGGGGCGAGTATACAGACTGTTTCCCGCAACTCGAACACGAACCTTACGAACAGCTTTATCAGCACAAGGAAAAGTTTCCTCAATAATACCCATTGGCCAGTTGTTTCTGTTTGCTGCTTTATCTCTCAGAAGCACAATATCTCCACATTTAAGGTTAGCACAAACTTCAGTCCACTTGCGACGCTTTTGTAGGGTTGTGAGGTACTCGTCTCTCCAGCGTCTCCAGAAATGATCTGACAAACTTTGGACTCTTCTCCACTCTGCCCGGTAAAGATCCTTTTCTGTAAACTCCCCAAGATTCCTTGCAGAAAAGGCATCCGCAGTCTTCTGAGTCAACAATGTTGCAGGGGTAAGTATATACGGTGACTCAGCATCTGTAGAAACTGGCACAAGAGGTCGGTTGTTCAGGATGGCTGCTACTTCAGTCATAAATGTGAAGAGTACATCATGCGTGAGATGTTTGTCTGCCACTTTCGAAAGCATAGCGTCCAGTATTCTCCTTGCTGAGCCGATCATCCTCTCCCATGCTCCTCCCATGTGGGACGAGCAAGGGGCATTGAAGATCCAGATAGTCCCTGACTTGTACAGATAGTCTTTGAGTTCTCCATCCTCCACATTTACTGCATCAATCTTTAGATCGTCGGTGGCCCCAACAAAATTAGTTCCCCGATCTGAACGGAAGACCTTGACCTCACCTCTGATGGCTGTAAATCTCCTCACTGCGTTGATGAGTGCAGATGAAGACATATCCTCAATCAATTCTATGTGCACAGCACGTGTCGTCAGGCAGGAGAACATAACTGCCCACCTCTTAGACTGAGCGCTTCCACCCCGAGTTCGTCTGGTCATGATATTCCAGGGTCCAAAAACATCAACACCAACATTGGTGAATGGGGGACTGTTTTCGAGTCTATCTGGAGGAAGATCAGACATCTTCTGGAATTCCAAGGATCCTCTAAGTTTACGACATGGAACACAGTTATGAATGTGAGTACAGATAAGCAACTTAGCCCCGGTTACCCAGAATCCAGCCGCACGTAATGCGCCTTCTGTAATATGTCTGCCTTGATGTTGTACGTTTTCATGTACCTGACCAATAAGGAGCTTGGCAATGTGATGCTTTCCAGGAATGAGCAGAGGGTGCTTCTCTTGTGCAGGAATATTGGCATGTTTAATTCTTCCACCAACTCGTAACGCTTTCTCAGAGTCTAGAAATGGATCCAAAGGAAGAATATGGCTGTTCCTGGAGAGAGCTATATTTTGCTCCAATTGAGAAATTTCTGTAGCATAAGTCTCTCTTTGAACTGTGTGCACTATGAACCTTTCAGCTTCTTGATACATCTCTACAGATCTTTGTCTCTGAGACTCATCTGGCTTCTTCCTATTTCTAATGAACTGTTTAAGGAAGGCAATGGCTCCAACAAGTCTTCTCCAACTGGAGAATCTCTCAAATCTATGTGATCCAAGTTCACTGCTATGACCCAATCTGACTTTGGTCAAGCATACACTGACTTTCTCAATGGGACGTACTTCCTTGTCCTCACAAGGGTTCACTAGAGAATAAGAGTCTTTAGATACTTCCAGCGTACTTGTATCACCATGACGATCTAGAAAATCCCTTGGTCCCTTGAGCCACATACTGTTACTCATTTTGTCAGCAGGTACGGATCTGGTTGCCAGATCTGTTGGGTTTTTCTGTGTGGGTACGTACTGCCATTGCTCAGGACATGTCGACTGTCTGATATGTTGTACCCTGTTTGCTACATAAACATAGAATCGTCTGGTTTCATTGTGTAGGTAGCCTAACACAATCCTGCTGTCCGTGTAGAACTTTACATCATCGATGTTGATGTCCAAGTTTCTCCTGACGACGTTCGAGACCTCAGCCGCCAAAACTGCAGAACACAGCTCGAGTCTTGGTATTGTTGTTCCATGCTTTGATGCAACTTTGGCTTTTCCCATCAATAGTCCAAGGTGAGAAGTTCCATCTTGATAAACTGATCGTAAGTATGAAACTGCAGCTATAGCTCTTTCAGAAGCATCACAGAAGGTATGTAGTTCTACCCTTACTGCTTTTCGTAAGGAGACAGGTGAGTAAGCTCTTGGGATAAATATGTTCTCACATGCTGTCAGGGAATCTCTCCATTGCTCCCACTGCGCTCTATGATCCTCAGAGAGGGGTTCGTCCCAGTCCACTGTTCCTAAGACAAGGTCACGAAGAATAAGTTTGCCTTGTATGGTTACAGGGGCTATGAGTCCAAGAGGATCAAAAAGGCTGCTAACAGTGGACAGCACACCACGTCGCGTGAAAGGGGTTTCCTTCAGGGAAACACGAAATGTAAATGAGTCTGAATCAAGATCCCAGTTTAGCCCAAGACTTCGTTGAATTGGCAAGTCATCTGAGTCAAGGTCTACATTCTTGAGCTCCTTTGAGAGGTCTTGCAGAGGTAAGTTAGCCATTACTTCTCCACTATTGGATGCAAACTTGTGGAGACGGATCTTTCCTATATTCATCAGAGCCTTCTTTGTCCTCGTGAGAAGGTTGATAGCTTCCTCTGCGGATGGAACTGAGGTCAGGGCATCGTCAACATAAAAGTTTCGTTGTACAAACTTCTTTACGTCTTCTCCATATGTTTCGGACGCAATCTCAGCTGTCCTCTGAAGTGCATAGTTCGCGATGGCGGGTGATGGTTTGTTACCGAAAACATGAACCCGCATTCTGTATTCTATAATGTCTTTGTCAAAGTCATTATCTTCGTACCAAAGGAATCTCAGAAAGTTTCGATGACTTTCTCTTACTGTAAACGAGTAGAACATTTTCTGTATATCAGCCATAATCCCTGTCTGTTCAGATCGGAAACGCATGAGAACTCCGATCAGGCTGTTGGTGAGATCTGGGCCTGATAACAGCACGCTGTTCAATGACACGCCTTTGAAGGTTGCTGAGGAGTCAAAGACACATCTTATCTGTCCGGGCTTCTTTGGATGGTAAATCCCAAATACCGGAAGATACCAGCATTCTTCTCCAGAATGTAGTGTAGGTGCAACTTCGGCATGTTTGTTTTCAAGGAGTTCATCCATAAATTCAAAGAAATGCTCTCGTTTTACTGGATCCTGTCTTAGACTTCTTTCCAATGACCTAGATCGTTGAACGGCCATTGCGCGGTTGTTTGGTAGTTTCTTGCGAGGAACGCAAAAGGGAAGTGGTGCACACCAGTGACCATTCTCGTCTTTGTGAAGTTCTTTATTCATCAAACTTAAAAATTGTCTGTCCTCAATTGAGGGTCCCACAGTCTCGTCTAGATCAGTCTGCATGAAGACATCTGATGCTAGCTTCATGTTGATTATGTCGGGAGACTTTAGGCATGGAATACAGTTAGTTGGTTCAAGCACATCAAACTTGTTTGGACATGGGGGTAGAACAGTCGGTCTTCCTTTAGAAGTATGGTAAGTCTTGCAGACACTTATGCTATCTGGTTTGTGGTTTCTGCCCAAACACATCTCTCCCATGACTACCCATCCCAGCTTCAGCCTCTGGGCAAATGGAGAATTAGAAGGTCCGACCACTTGTTCCAGTACATGATGCGCCTCAATTGCATCACTTCCTATCAGAAGGAGAATCTCTGCGTTTTCATCTATAGGTTCCAGTTCGTTCGCTATGTCACATAAATGAGAATAGTGTCTCACTGCCTCTGGGGTAGGGATCTCATTTCTGTTGTTTGGGATGTCTCTGCACTCAATAATTTCTGGCAGAACGATCTTGGTTGACAGGTCAACTGACTGTATAATGAATCCACTAGATCTCCTCCCAAACATCTGTGACTGTCCAGAGCAGCTCCTCAGAGTGTACTCCATTGAAGTACTGTCCACTCCAAAAAAATGGAATAGCTCAGATCTTGCTAATGTTTTGTTGCTTTGCTCATCCAGAATCACATAGGCTTTAATTTGCTTCTGTGGAATGTTCTTATTGGTGACATAAACTGGTAAAATCTTTGCACAAGATTTTCCATCGACACTTCTTCCACAAATTTCGGTACATGTACTGTCAATGTCTAGTGGTTTAATGGGTTCCTCCCCGCCATTCTGTCTCCTGCTCTTAAGGCGCTCATTTGTCATATCGAAGTGCAAAGCTGTGCAATGGGTGTGACTTCCGCACTCCTTACATACAATGGCAGTCGTGCAATCACGTTTCCGGTGGTCCTTTGACGCGCAACATTTGAAGCAGACTCTGGAATCTTTCAGAAGTCGACGTCTCTCTTCTATGGGTTTCAGTCTAAATGCTTTACATTCGTTTAAGTCATGCTTCGAACTCGGATGTAAAATACACTTCGGATGTTGAAAGACTGTTTTTATTGGCTTTATATTACTATTGGTGTCTGTTATCTTCACGTTGACTCTGTTCCTTGAGATACTCAACGGTTTTTCCATGTTGTTGTTGCTATCATAGTTTAGTCCAGGATCATTTTTGATGTAGCTTATCTCCTGAATAAAGTCTAAAAACTCACTGAAGGGCGGGAAAACTGCGCTGTGATTCTTCTTGTACCTTACAGCTCTTGCTGTCCACTTTTCTTGAATGGAGTAGGGCAGCTTCTGTATGATGGGTAGCACCCCAGAAGATGTGTCATAGTACGATAGCAGGGTACTGTACGTTGGGTTCTCTTTCACGCTGTTAATTTCTGCAAGAATGTCTGCCAATTCAAACAACTTTTTGTGTTCTTTGTTTGTTAGTTTTGGGAAATACTCTAACTTCTTTTTAAGAGCTGCCTCCACCATCTCTGGACTGCCGTACCGTTGGTCTAATCTTTCCCATAAACGAGCTACCCCAACACAGGGTCTGTTGACGTTAGATATCTTTATGCTACATGCATATTTGGAGGACACTGGTCCTAACCATTTAATCAGCAACTCTAACTCCTCTGACGGACCGACGTCAAGTTCTTTCATCACTTGCTTGAAAGTTCTCTTCCACGACAGGTATGCTTCTGGCTCTTCAGAAAAGACCGTAAGTCTCGCAAACAGCAAGTCTTTTCTGAGAAGGAACCTTGTGAGATCCGAGGTCACTTGGTTTTGAGAGGAATTCGAATTCACAAGTGCTGGGTGTTCTGGTGACTGTTCACGATGTATATGATACCTAGGCTGAGGTAGGGGACGGAAAAACTCCGGTGAATAACTAGGATCCCGCATGGAATGTGGGTCGAATGGTCTTGCACTAGGATTCAGATTAGTATATCCAGAATGCTCGTTTACATAACGATTTGTCCTTATCTCTGAGTTTTCTTGCTGTTTTGGTAGCAAAATATCGGACACTTCATTCCTATCAAGTTCGCTCCCAGCTGTCTTCAGTGCTTCAACCTCTGCCTCTGCTGCGGCTAATTCCTTCTCATGTTCTAGACGAGATAGGCTTGAAGTGAGTTCCGCTTTCCTTCTTTCTGTCTTTATTTTTGTCAGCGCCTCTTCTTCTTCCACTTTAAACTTCTCCTCCAGAAGATCTCTCTCTTGTTCTGAGAATTTTATCTTTGCCTTGGCGGCCTCTACTTTTGCTTGTTTTTTGGCAATCACTGAAATTCCCGATCTTGCAGAAAGTCTGGATCCATGTGATGAAGACGTTTCCATTAGATACTGTTTCCTTTCCTGTATTTCTTTGAAAGCCTTTTCCACCCGTCTTTTTCTCTCCTGATTGTCTCGAGTGAATTCCTCATACTCTTGCATAGCTTCATCTTCCTCACTTCTGAAAACAAACTCATCATATTCTGATACAAGTTTGCTGTACACTCTGTATTTTTCACTTAAGTCAAATTCAAATGATTCTAGAAGACTAATACTTTTGAAGTCTTTCCAATCTGTTGTTTGAAGTATTTCAACTTCCGTCCAAAGTCTGTGTATCTTTGTTATTTTCACATTTTTTTTCTCCTTAAAATATTCCAATCCCTTTTCTGAGGGCTTCCATTGTCTTTTTTCAGATTTGTGGTCTGTTTCTGTTGTTGTCCCTGTGTCCATATCTTGTTTGGGTGTAGGGATGTTTTCTTCTTTGTTTGCCATAGTGACTGATCCAATGTCCTGACAAATATTGAGGGATTGTTCCTTTACTGTACTGTCTCGTGATTAGCAGACAGTCAGATAACCACGCATCTACACAGAATACTCCAAGTCCATATAAACTGATGAATTTATTGACTTATATGTAAGATGGCATGTGGTAAAGGACTACAAAGAAAACAAAGGGACTAATCAGAAAATGTTCACAATATAACAGATACTAAAAGTGTACGACTTAACCAACTTTGATAATGACTGTTATGGCGTTCCATAGAAAAAATGTTTCAAACAGCAATGTATTTATCTTAAATTCTAATATTTGCATAAAATTATATTCTTACAAGTTACTTTACATCATTTTTATCTAAGTGAAAGAAAGCAGTATAAATATTCAGTAATATTATGCTACTTATAACAAGTTGTTTATCCTAGATATAGTAATGACAACAATGGCGTGCCGTACTTCGTGCACATGCGGTTACCGAAAATCATAATTTTCTATCATTTAACTTCACGACTGCAGCTATGCATTACACATCAAATGAAGTACACATAAAAGAATAAATTTACAAATGTATTCAATTACTTACACAGTGATTTCCCTAATCTTCCAAAAAATCAACAGCTAAACAATGGGTCAGCCTCATGGCTTCTAGAACAACTTGTATTAACAACTCGTACCTTTAATAATTCGTACGAAGGACAGAACAATATCAATAATATTTTTACACTGTACATTCACACGCTTTGCTTGTACAATGTTTAGATTACAAACTGGCATGTTGACTGGTCGATGCGCTGATGGTCAACGCATTTTATCCCTTATCCTGATTGACAGACCTGTTTGGCATGTTGATTGGTCGACGCGCTTATGAGTTAATCGCTAATCCTGATTGACAGCTCTGTTACGCAACACCGAACGCGCGTTCGCTTTCTGGGACCGCTACTGAATTTGGGGTTCGCTTTCAGGGTTCGCTACGGGTGCGCTCCGGGTTCGCTCGGGGTCAGCACTAGCGGACCCCAAGCGAACCCTGGGTTCGCTTTCTGTTAGGTTGTGTCTGGTCGGTACTGTAGTTTACTCACATAAAGTCTTTCAGAATTATACTGTTAATATTCAAGCCTGTCTGCCGGGTTACTACGGGAAAGACTGTGCTTATGAATGCAGTGATCACTGTAAAGTGTCCAGACGTTGTAACAGGTTTACTGGGGAGTGTGAGATGGGTTGTCAGCCAGGTTGTAAGTGAACTTTTTGTAATAAAGGTAACAATTCAAACAAGTTTGGATTTTTATCTGGTCAAAAAACATTCAAAAAGAACATTGCAATGCTGTAACAATCTTATGCTTAAAGTATACATTTAGCATATAAATAATAAACAGAATTGCGAAAGTCTCGAAACTAATATTTGTAAATTGAAAGTAAAAAATGCACGGATCATAATAGTAACAAATTAAATAATTTGTTTGTAATTGTAACTGGAGAATTTATCCCAAATTCTACTTTTTTATTAGCATTTTTTTGCAAAAAAAATCTTTTATCATATTATGAAGCATGAATTACATTACTCTGACGTATGATATTTTATCAAAGACGTCTTTTCTCGACCTCTATGTTATCACTTCTTTTCACACATGATAAAGATGTAAATAAATAAATATATAATCAAGCAACAACATCATGTAAATTTATTTTTTCATTATTATACATTACTGTTTGAATCATTTTTTTTTCTTTTCATTGAAATGTAAAGAATGTGATGGTGGAATGTATGGAATTATCTGCAATCAGAGCTGTGGACATTGTCTTTATGACACTCAGTGTCACCATAGAAACGGTTCATGTTTAGGCGGTTGTTCTTCAGGATATGAAGGTTTTCTCTGTATCAAAGGTAAACAAAAGTAATATTAGAAACATCGTCAGCTTAATATTACGTCATCACTATTTTGTGTCTTATATACATTGAAATGAAAATGGCATTCCTGGATTAGTTAATTGCCGTCCAAAAAGATAAAATTTTCACAAATAAACATTACTACTTTTACGTTTTGATGTTGAATTGTAACTAAAATCATATCGTTGTCAAATGTCAAAACGAGCTGCATTGCCTTTCCCGTACGAAACTCTTAACCGTTTTCCGCCTGGAGTCCGGGCGGACTGAGACGGGTTCCGGTTAAGTGCTAGGAGTACTAAGCCGTACTACAGTCGGACATGGAAAACGTCTTAGCTTTAACCGTTTTCCGCCTCATATCTTAGGTGGATTCCACCTTAAATCTTCGGCGTATTTTTGTTAGACGTTTTCCCGCTTAGCTCTTAGACGGATTCTGCATTAATCTTAAAATTATGAACAGTTTAAATTATGACCACATGTTTCATTCCACTTGATGACCTCGTTTTCTTAAGGCACTAATGGGGGAGATATTCGGAAAAAAAAGTCAAACATTGTTTTTGATCCAGTTATTAGACTTCGAATATTTGACTTTTTATTATGTTGAAGATTGCGTTTCCTACAGCAGTAATTTTTTTCAGTCATATTTTATATCAGATACACGTTTCTTATGCGCTCCTGCTTGACCACCCTCTACAGGGAGCGGAAGTTTTCAGACAGAGCCTCTCTTTGGATGCATTGGTCAGTTTGAATGCAGATTTTGAAAGTGATGACTATTGATCAATTTGGTTGATGAATCTTTATATCTTATTCAGTTTAAAAAGGAACTCAGGCAAGATGTATGCCTGTAAATTATTATTCTGAAGATGATTCGTTATGTGTTTTTGGAAAAAAGAGTGATAAAATACAACACTTATTTCTTTTACCAAATGTAAGGCAGCATCAAGACCCCCCCCCCCCCCCCAATTAATTTCAATGTTATGGGTATGTCCTTTTAGATTAAGATGTTTAAAAAGTACAGGGATAAAGGATATAAAATTACTCATTCATTTGTCAATTATTAATTAAACTGCCCATGTATTTTGTAATTTTATTTTCACTTCGCGTATGTGTTTTCCGGAAATACGATTTCCTTTTAAATTTAGCGACCCTTAGTAACTTCCAGTTTTAAAATCACGATTGAAAAAATGTTCTGATGTATGTCAGCAATTAGCACTGGTTAGTGGAATGGTGACACTGACACCCTTCCAAAAGTGTAGTTCGCTGCTTAGTTAGGATTAGGAGTCAGGTTCTGAGATGTAAGTTATCATTTAAAATATTAATATATACATGAGATTCTTCATTTTTTTACCGTGATGAAAATTCTGAAAAATACATTTTTGGGGCGAAATTAGAACAGTTTTTTAAAATTTATTTTTTCATCCATATTTAAGTGTCCCATTCCTCCTCACGTGGATGCATCTATACGATAGTTTTCCTATAGTATGATAAAGATTTTAAGTATTTCATAATTTATGGCCTTGTTTAAGGAATTCAACTTCTTCGTATAAAACATACAGAAATATTGCATGGATTGATAATTTTTATTCTGGGTGATGTAGACAATAGATCTTAAATCACAGTGTATTTATAATTATTCAATAAGCAGCTGCAATTTTTTTTCTGTGTTATTATCCATCATAATGTACATTTGTTAAGTAAGATCTACATATTTCAAGAGCAGCTATTGAATACACAGTCATGTAAATTGAAAGTGTTTGTAGAAAGGGGTCTTACATTATTGCCTTTTACAAATATATGAAGATTATAAAATGTGATTGAATAAGAGATTAAAAACCTATTTTCGTCAATTTTAAAACTGTAAATATTTTCTGCAGTGCAGTGTTTTACATTTCAGCACTTCAAGCTGTTCAAGTCCTCTGGAATTATGGCCGATAAAGATAGAATGAGGACTCCGACTGCGGCAACTGCAGCAAGTCAGGATGAAGTCCAGAAGTCAGTGTCCATCCACCCTTACATGTACCAGTAAACTGGTAATGCTGCTCTTCTCATTTGAGAGCTTGCCGAAGATTCATGGGAAAAAGGAATGCAATCTAACACCCGTGCTTCATTCAACTGAAGTGGAGGTTATGAGAGGTAAACACATTAAGACATCAGACGTCCGATTAATATATAAAAATTAAATATTCTTATATTTTGTAAGTTTTAGTGTTGAGAGAAATTAGACAAGATTGTGTGAATCCTGATCTGTAATACTGAATAGTATGTCATAAAAGAGTCATTTTATTGAAAAATGTTGAAGAGTCATTTTAAAACGAGAAACACATTTCAGTTTGTATTTTCTTTATAGAGTACTTCAACATGTGGTGTGTGAAGAAATTGGCAAAGGAAAGTAGGAATCATCATGATCATGGAAAAGATAAGTTATTCCAGACAACTTAGGAAGAAGAACAATAAAAATGATACACTCATTCCTCGCAGACAGAAAGAATTTTGTGAAAATAATTAGCCAGTGGTAAATTAACAGCTAATTGTTTTGTTGAATTGACATTTAACATGTTTAAACAATGGTTTTGTCTTTCCTTTTTTATTTGCTAATTCAACTGTGACAGTCACATTTTTTTGTAGATGTATGAAGAAATAACATGTTTTGGTACAATATTTTTTATCTTTTAATTTCATGTGAAGGCAAGGCATGACATTTTAAAATGTTTACAAAAAAGTTTTGTAGTCATTAATTTTTTAAGACCTTGAAAATAAATGATTTATATTTTGTTTAATTTTATTTTCTTCAAAAATCATGAAGGTTGTAAAAGTCTGAAACAACAATAGCTGATACACTGTGATAGGCAGATTATGTAACCATTAATGCAAAATCCATCTAACCATTAAGGCAGAATACGCCTTGTAAGTAAGGCAGAATACACCTTGCTAGTAAGGCGGAATACGCCTTGCTACATGTAGTAAGGTGGAATACGCATATCATAAGTAAGGCGGAATACGCCTATCGTAAGTAAGGCGGAATACGCCTTGCAGGTTAGGCAGGATATGCCTTGCAAGTAATGCATTTTAGGAAAGGCGGAATACGCTCTAACTCATTTAAATAGTTCGAGCCCTATCCCCCCTGATTCCACCTGGACTCCATCTAATAGTCTTATTAAGTTCTTTATAGTTGAAAGGTGGATTCCGTCTTTTGATTTCCGCCTAAGGTCAGGGCGTAAATTTTCGTATGGGTAATGAAAGATATGTGCAAAAGGGTTTTTTTTTAAATAAATGCTATGGAAAGTATCTTCATATGTTTTCAGAACGTATACATTCTTGTATGCTCTTATATAAAACTGATAGGCATTAAAACTTAATTGGTTTGTAGCTGAAATATTGCAGAAATATATCGGGTTGATTTACCTCACAGACAGCGAGGTGAGGCAGAGCCGTCTATTAGACTGATCGACCCGATATGCCACAATTTTATTTTTTCGTTAATTCATCATTCTACGATAAAAGGACCAATTCAGGGCAAATAACACGAAAAAATAAATAAATGTTTCAATAGCCAATTGAACAACATTATTTCACTAAGGAATAGATCGGTGCACTTGACATTATTTTTAAATAAACCTGAATTTTGCGTTGCCTGATGTTCACTATAGAATGCTAAAATATTTTTTTTTTTGGAAGTCTTACACAAATCTTAATTACGTATAAATACATATACTTACTTTAAGTTAATTTATAAGAAGATCCATACATTTTTTTTTGCAAAAAGTGGTTTGTTTTCTTTGTCTATGGGAAAAAAACCTTTTCTTTGCGCTTATATAACTAAAATAATTTGTCTTGAAATTTGTAAATGAGTGAAGCAACGCAATTTTTGCGGTGGAATACGTTTTAAACCTTGTATTTTGTTCATATCAAATTTTTAAGGGCATATGTAGTCGCTAAATTTTACATAACCATGTGCGCATGTTGTCTTTGAGCTGAAATCGATTTAAAAATCATAGTTAAGATATTAAAACAGCAAATTTATAAGCGAGTAAAAAAAATGTTAATTCCGCATGTTTTTATAGAATGACTGATAATGTGTTGTACCCTGTCAACATTATATGCTTACAGTACAACTTGTCTCCCTTTTATGATTTTGACAGAGTGTAATCCGGGTTTCTACGGAAAAGATTGTAGGCAGGGCTGTAGTGAAAACTGCGTATCGCCCAGACGTTGTAACAAATTTATTGGAGAATGTGAGAGAGAATGTAACAGAAGAACTGGAAGATGTAATGGAAGATGTCAGCCAGGATGGAAAGGAATATGATGTGAACAGAGTGCGTTAGATCATGTAATTAATGGACGGCCCTTTAAACAGATATGATTTGTCTAATAAAAAAAAAAAATCCTTTAAAAAGTCTGGAATAAAGAGAATCATGAGCAAGTTATTCTTCACTTAAAATGATAAAAGACAGTAGCTTTCTCAGCGCACTTAGTACTAAAAATTATACATACTTTCAACTTGAATGGAAAAAAGAGAATCTTCATATTGTACATAAAAGGACGAAAATTTTAGGAGGGGGGGAGGTATGGTAAAATGATCAGATTTTATATTTTCATACAAGTCAAGGAGAGGATATTTACTTTCAAGATGATCAAAAACTAGTTTTGTTCTTCCCTGAAAAAAATATTACAAAAAAGGTAAATGCCTAACCCCCAAAAATTTCCTTTTGGTTGGGAAGGACGGGATAGGAAACAGTGTTAGTAGCACCAGTCAAGGAGAGATAATTAATTTTTTCAGCATTTTCCAGGAGAGACTATTTATTTCCTAAATCTGCTTCCTTAGAATCAAATGGTTTTTCATTAAACGATTTAGAAATAAAATAAAAATCGAAAAGATACATATATTTATTACATGATAAATCAAGCAGAGATTTATCTTGGTTAAATCCATTGATATTTTGCTCAAGTATTCTGAAAAAAAAACATACAGTTCATAACGAATATACCTTATTGATTGTCATCTTTGCGCTGTATCAATTAGCAATATTCTTCTTTGGTCATCTGAGTCACTCAGATGACCTATTGTTTTCTGCTTTTGTCCGTCGTTGTGCGCAAATTTTTCAAATATTTAACTTCTTCTTGGGAATCACTGGACCAATTACATTTCAACTTGCCATAAAGTATCACTGGTGTTATTTTATCAAGAAAGATTAAATAAATGGAAGTTTCCGCCTCAAAGGGGAGACCGAAATTATCAAGGAAAGGTATAATTAAGGTTGTGTCATTAAAAAGAAAATCTTCTCAAGAATCATTCGATCAGTGGGGAGCACAAAGGGCAACCGTGGATTTACATAGAAATATATATATATATATATATATATATATATATATATATATATATATATATATATATATATATATATATATTTATGTGTGTGTGTGTGTGTGTGTGAGAAAAATCTTTTCGAGAATAGCAAATCTATTAGTCATTTTATATGGAAGCATCTGCAAGTACCGGTAGATTAAGGACTGTTCAAATCATGACCCTGAGTGTAGGGAGGGGCCATTATTGGAGATCAAAAGTTTTACATAGCAATGTATAGGAAAAATCTTTTAAAATCTTCGTCTCAAGAACAGCACATTCATCATTTGTCATATATATATGTATGCATCCTTAATTAGTATATATTCAATTTTTTTTTTTTAAAAACAGGCCCCGGGGTCGGGTGGGTACAGAAGTGGAACAAAGTTTAGATATAAATGTAAAGAAATTTTTTTAAAAATCTTCTCAAGAATAGCAGAGCTATAATAACCATATTAAGATAAAAGAATCCCCAGGTAAGGCATCTTAAGATTTGCCAAAATCATGACCCTTGGAGATTGGGTTGGGCCAGAATAAGGTATCAAAGTTTTAATAGTGTATTAATTCGTAAGAGAAATCTTTAAAAATCTTCAAGACCGGAAGGACAATGAGTAGTCATATAAATATATAAACATTTTCCAGCTAATGCAGATTTAAATTCTTTTGCTCGCGCTCCTCTTTGAAGAGTGGCTTGGGCCACAAAAAGGGATAAAGAATTTATGTAGGTATATATATATATATATATATATATATATATATATATATATATATATATATATATATATATATATATACATTGTAACGCTTCGGATGTCAAACACTCCCGCAAATGCTAGGAATAAAAACCAAGTCGCTAAATAAAGTTTATAATTTATTGAGGTAGTTCAACAGCGAATATGAGTAACAGTGTGTAAAATTGACAAGTCTCAACCCTTGGGACAAAAGACAAAAATCAGTACAAATACTGATACGAACTGATATAAACTGGCACTATTTCCAGTATATCATTTATGTATAAATTCCCCCGACCAAACTAAAACGGAAAGGCTCTCTATAAATGACTAAATTTACAAATAAATATTCCCGCTACTAGTTCAACTACTAGCACGCAGCAGAAATATTTCCTAACTCTTAAAGAAAATATAAATAACTAGTTCTTAACTAGTAATAATAAATGAAATTTGCACAATGACTAGTAATATTAATTTAGCCTAGCACTACATGTGTACTTCAGTCACATATATATACTGAAATAGTACACACCTTAATCTGGATAAAAACTGGCGACCTTTCTTTAGGACACAAAGGAAACGAGAGAGCACCCGATACTCAGCGTCTGTGTATTTATAGAACTTCCAAAACCCGCAATAATTAATAACCAATTATAATTAATAATTCCATCCCGTAATTAATAATTAACCAATCATACATAATTATCATGAAATCTCACTCTCGTACATCGTATGTAAAATTATTACAATACGTAAATAAATTAATAAAATATAATTTACACTTTAAAAGCACATTTAACATTTAATTAAACAGAATCTACAATCAAATCTTCCGCCAAAATAATTACGGTAAAAATAGATCAATACACCGTGAAGTATCATGGGAAAATACACACAAGTAAACAAAGTATGGCAGCGGCAGAAGTTTCAGTAAAACATGTGTGCTCGAGAACGCTAAAAACATCGATCACACGACAATTAAGATAATCATGAGGTAATCATAAATTACTGTACAACTTTACAACTATATATGTACAAGTAAACGATCAACAAACGTGTAATTAAATAACATAACGATGCTTGACATTCAACACATCATAACACATGAAAAGTGGGGGAGGGATCGTTACAATATTATTGAATTTTGCTATTAAATACTGTTCTTTCTCTAAACATTTTATTAAGATAGAGTGTAACGGGGGATTTTATGGTGTTAATTGCAACCAAACCTGTGGCCATTGTTTTAATGATACACAGTGTCACAACATCAAGGGTACCTGTCTAGACGGTTGTTCCTCGGGCTACGAGGGGTCTCTGTGTTCATAAGGTAAAGTCTGTATATATATATATTACAATATCATTTTTTTTTTCAAATTGCAGTCATAAATTTTCTCTCTAAATTTCCTATCAAGTATGATCTGTGTTTTTAAGGTCCACTATTACTTTATGAAACTATTTTTTTTCTTGGTACATGTAGTTTGTAGGCAATTCTATTGGGGTGAAATTTGTAAAATGACATGTAGCACAGAATGTGTCAACAGGACATGCCATCACGTGACAGGAGTATGTGAACGTTACCTTAAGGTAAGCTATCAAGTAAATACAAAATAAACCTGTACCAAAATGTATGCCTAATGTCAATTTTTGGCTTTATTTATTTTCTGAATTGGATTTCAAAAATATACGCTACATTTTTTATTATTATATTGGAGTACATAAGCACTCATGAAAAAGAGCACTTTATAAGACACTTCAGTGTATATTATACTTAATAATTAAAATTTTTCTTCCAGCTTTTTTGAATTTTGCGTATAATAAAAAAAAAATTATCATCAATTTAGCGCATTTGAAATTTTTATAGAAATGCTCAATTGCTTCCCAGTTTTGATAAATTTTGCAGTCACAGATGTGTGAACGTTGTAGCGGTGTTAACACCATAACCTTTGCAATTGCTGTTGTCGTTGTTCTTATTGTTCTCACCGGAAGTGTCTTAAATTTTGTTATATTGAAAAGAAATCAGGGTAAGTACACGATATATCTTGGTTATATACTACATAATTGTATACTTGCTCTTTTCTCTTGATAAGGTATAACATAACTTTGAAAACATTGACAACCAGCATTTATATGGTGACAATTTTTTTTTAAATAAAAACATAGTCAATTATTTATTCTTAGTTAGAAATAAAAGAATATAAAAGAATTTTATAGAAAATAATATTTTACCTCTTACTTTTACTATGTTGTGAATCTGATTATCCGATGGCATAGCTTAAGAAAAAAAGTGACTTAATGTTGAATTAGTTTATATCCACAGACATCAAGGTATTTAACTGTTTTTTAGATAAAGGCACGGATGTCAATACCATCATAAAGGAAGAAAATTTGAACGAATTTCCAGTTGCCAATATTGAAGGTCATATCATATACATACACAACTAAGAATTCAAAATATATCGTCTGGGATAGGAATTGTGATTAAAATCAAAAGAAGGGTTTATAAATGTATTTATATATATATATATATATATATATATATATATATATATATATATATTGAATATTGACCAATATTCAAAATCCACTGAAGAGGCAAGAGACGAAAGCGCTATGGATTAAAGTGCCATCTTCTACGAAATCTTTATGACTCTTTCTCTCTCTCTCTCTCTCTATATATATATATACCGTTCACGGTAGCTCAGTCGGTAGAGCGCTCGCTCCGTGATCGGGAGGTCGTGAGTTCGAATCTCGGCCGCTACTGACCTAAGTCGATAAAAAATGGGTAGCAACTGTTCCTTCGCCATGCGCTCGGCACTTTGAAGTGATAGTTGCGGGTCCTTCGGATGAAACTTTAAAAACCGAGACCACTTGTCCCGATAGGCGTTGGCACGATAAAGATCCCTCACTGATCAATGGCTCTGAGTGCCGAGTAAAGGTCAACATTTGAAACACTTCACCTGTATATGGTGACGTCTCTATATGAATGAAAAATTCTCGAATGGGACGTAAAACAACATACAATCAATCAAACTCTCTCTCTCTCTCTCTATATTGGCATTTATTTTCGTAGTTTCTTAGAATTAACGTGCAAATGAGTAAAATATGAGAAATTGATCTCAAACCTAAAAGAAGTATGTTAAGTTTAAACAATGCTGACTAAAAGAATCTCAACCGTGTTTAGAATTATCATTGGTAAAAACAAAGGTTTAGAGAATGTCACAAATAAAATGTTTAATGCATTCATT